GCCTATAGCTGTGTGGAGGAGTGTGTGAGAGGGGGAGAGCTATCCTCAAGGGCCGCGGTGAGTGCTAAGGTGAACAAGTAAGCTGCATCCGAAAAATTACACCCGTTTAATCGTGCAGGCGTGGGTCAGTACATTTAATGCTAATAATAAAATAAACTCGCTGAGCATCCCATTTGGCTTCAGGACCACAGGTCAATAATAATAATAAATAATAATAATAATAAATAATAATAATAATAATATATAATAATAATACTGGAGCAAGAATCTGTCATGGTCTGTTCTCACCTATGAGTGTTGCGTTCTGTCCTTGGAGTTATATCTGAAAACTTCGGACGAGCGTGTAAATTTGAAAGAAAAATAATAATAATAAGAATAATAATAATAATAATAATATAATAAATAGTAAATTTTGGGGTAATGACAAGAGACGGCTGCATTGGCTACCGAGAAATAAATTGTGCGAAAATGAGACATTGGCGTTCGATGTCATGTGAGGGCCGTATGTGTAGTGCAATGCCGCGATGAGGCCGCTGTCAACGAGGCACAGGCGAGGCGATAGCATCGAGTCGGGGCCGAGGGATCCGCAGCGAGCGAGGGCGTCGAAAGAGGGCGGGTGGGGCCCCGCACGTGGGCGCAGCGGCGAAGCAGGGGGCGGGGGCGGAGAATCGGCGCGTGCTGGGGGCCGGTTGGGGCGGGGGAGTCGCGCGAAGTGAGGCCGGGGGCGTGGAACGAGCCGGAGCGGGGGGTGGGGAAGGGGCGGGGCGGGGCGGGAACGGAACGTGCCCGGGAGCGGACTGAGGCGGAACGGGGGGCCGAGAGGCGTAGGACGAACCAGCTTCAGCACAGGGGATGCAGCAGGTAACACGGCCGTGTTTGTGTCGAGGAGCCAACTGAGCGGCCACAGGGATAGTTCTTCGTCTGGTCGTGTTTTGCCCCCAAACCCTTTTTCCGGGGTCTCGGGGCCGTTTGTCGGAGAGATAGCGTCGGGTTGGTCGCGAGCTGTGAGGTCGAATCGCGTCGAGGCAGAGGAGGGGGTGCATTTCACCGGGATGATCGCGTCGAGTCGGGCCAAATATTGCTGGAAGAGGTGGAGAGATATTCAGCGCGAAAGAAGAGTGTGGAAGGACGAGCAGTAATTACATAAACTCAGACCGGTAAACATGGGTCGATTAGTACAGAAGGCTAGACACGAGTTTAGGAAATAAGCTGAAAAGATGGAGTAGGTGGATGTTATGCATCACGTGGGGATGAAGGTGCTTTGAAATCAGTGGGATGCGGATGTGAATCTGTCATGGAGATGGTAGGTGTGGGAAAGTGTGGCTAAGACGCCACACAATGCACTACTCTAGCGCTAGAGGGCCCTGCTTTGCTGAAGCACTGGCCGTTGCTGGCAGAAAGGGGGGCTGATCGCCATTCTGTGAGCTATCGAAGAACGGAATTTAGTAGTGCACCGCTGTCAATCCCGCATTATAGCGGGACCTGAAGCCTTCAGTGAAGAGCTCGCACGTATCTTCGGTTCCATACAGCAGTAAGCATCCTAGAACATTCGTCATACTGTCTCCAAGAAATACTAACAATATTTATAGTAGTGCTTTGCGAATCTGCTTAACGATTGATCTAAGAAAACAGAAAATGCGAATCTTTTGAAAAAAGTTGCCAAACACGTTTCTTCGATGCCATGCGCAATGCATTTCAGAATCACGATATAATCTGAAATAACGATTTACCATGATATTTGCTAAATCCTAACAGATTCATAGTGTAGAAACACTAATTATGTGAAGGAGGGGGGACATGGGGAAGGGCGACGGAAAAACCAGGAAGACCCGGGGGAGGAGAAGGGAAAACAGCGAGTAGAGCGCCGAGAGGCAGGGGCCGCAGAACTGCGCAACCCCCGCCCCCTACGCGAACTCGACTCCGGGAGTCCGGGGCCGGGGGAAACAGAGCCGACAGCCCCGGCCCAACGGCAACCGGGGCCCAGGGAAAAGGAAGGCCAAGGGGAACAGGGCGCCCCTCCCAACACGCCGGACCCCAAAAGCACCCAGCCGGCCCCCCCTGCACAACCCAAAGCCCAGAGCCGAGGGCCGAAGAAACGGCGATAAAACCAAGCGCAAGACCCGCCCAGGAAGCCGCCCGCGACCCAAACCAAGAAAAGAAAACCGAAAAACCCCGACTCCAAGCCAAAGCCACAAAGGACGAAGCGGCAGGGCGCAAAAAACAACGCAACGCGCGGATTAAACACTTTAGTAGGCTACCCGCCTATGGACGTTCGTCGGCCACGGCATTTTTGGGCAGAAGGAGACCACGCGCGCCCGAGGAAAGGCAACACAAAGAGCAGAACCAAGCGAGAAAAGTGTTTGCGACGGTGCCTGCTAACCTCGAGTTTCCTGATTCGTCAGCTGAGCCGGGCACAATTGCTTATTCACGTCATTGACTAAGTGTGCATAATGTGTATTTTCACATTACAGATCTTCCCAAAAAGTCAATGTTTTGCCGAAAAATTTAATGTTAGACCAATAGTATTATTTTACATTTTCCGATAGCTGCGGCGATCGCCGTGAGGATGTGCTCACTCTTTGATTTTCTATCTAGCGTGAATTGTGCTATCTAATGGTCTGCGTGGATATTTTACCTGAGTACATTGCAGATATAATGTTTTTTGATTTACACTGAGGACCACTAAATACCGTAATTTGCATTTACTCAGTAAGATCTAGCTCTGACTCACGCGATATATCGCATGTAGGCTTTCACGCCGGATCAAATTCATGTTTCCGGCTGATGGAGCGTGGTCAATTGGTCTGGGATGCAACAACAACTTAGGACCCAGGGATTAGCATCCTGAGCCAAATGGACGCCTCCCCGGAAAGGCGAGTGAAAATTCAACGCGTAAGTTTTGTTCTCAAGTTACTATTTTATTTTTTATGAGATATACATATGATATATGCAGAAAACATTTTTTTATATAGCAATTAGTACGACCTGATTCTACTACGCTGCTTAAGGTACTTCCATAAACCATCTATAGTATCACCCGAGATAGAAAGCGCCAATTTTCACCGGAATCTGTAGGCACTTAAAGACTTCTCAATCACATTTTTAAATTTAATTGTTTTGTTCTGGCATATTAAAAAGAAAAACTATTACTGAAGACAAAATGAGTACAGCTAGATTTATTTAAATAAATTCCGGATAAGTTCTATTAATCAATTGTTATTCCAGAATAATTCTGGTATGGCCAATTCCTAAAAAAAGAAGTTCTCTGGTCGTGTATATTGTCAAATTGTGTGTAGACTACATGGCAAGATGCGGGAATGAGAATGTTGATGTCCCCGTGCATATCCTCTAGTTCTGCCTACCCAATACGCCCGGACGCAGTAAGGTTAAAGGTCACATACGATCGACCCTCTCTGCCGAGAGGAGAGCATACTGGACGCGAGTAAGTCGAGTGCCCCGCCGAAAGACGAAGAATCCAGGGTGAAACCCATACGACCACAGGTGCTTAATCGCGGTGTTCTCAGCGATGTAGGCGCCTCAAGAACGCTAATATTCAATTCTCAAACAGCATGAGTAAAACTAGACGAATTCGCAGTTGAAATTGTTGCATTGTAAGTTTTTTTGGATGAAAATAACCAGCACTGGAATGCATTGTGTTTCGTCATTTGCTCAGAAAGAGAAATAGATCAATTCACTATAAATCTCCCTCTGACATGGAAGCTCGAAACTATCCGTGATCCATTTCCAGTTTGCCCTGCATTATTTAGAAGAGATATACGAACCAGAGTATGTCCTACCTGATATGTTAAAGAAAGGGGCACATCTTCAACCGCGTGTTTGAATTTATTTGCTCAATTATGACATATTAAAGCCTATGCTTTACATTTATTACAACATTATCTTATTTACAGTAGACTATATGAGTTCAGTTGCCATATACTCATTGAAATTATCTTCTCCATATTCCGCGATGATAATAGCTGATTGACTTCAAAAGCATTTGGTTAGCCATTAGCTTGTATATAGGTCTATGCGACTCAGAATAGAATATTATCTTTCTCATTCGCCCAAAAATACTGTTTTAACCACTTTCTTCAGACAGGGACTTTTATGGTGTGTTAGGATAGGCAATTCAAATATAAAAAACATGCACAGAATTACACACGCTCTAAGTTGTACTCATATGTCACAGACAATTTTAACGAGAAATAAACAAAATATTACTATGATCGGATTGTAATACCTTTCCGTGTTTATATTCTGAAGTATGATGAAGTACACAAAGAGATTTGCATCTCAGAGACCTAAGATTATTAAGGTTTTTTCTACACCCCAATTTTATCACATCATGACCTATTTAATTTCTAAAATAATTCACTTTCACAAGGAATGAAGAAACCTTGAGTACTTTTGTTAGCGAAAACAAACAATACACAAGCTAAAACATATACCAAATTTTCATAATTTACCGGGCTTCGATTTGCACAGGCGGGAGTACTTTAAAGTTGTTCACAGTGTTCTGTATCGCACGAATATGGTGGCTCCGGTAACAAGGTGATGTATATACTAGCTGAGTTCGATAGGTTTGAAAGGAAGAAAAAGTACAAAACGTTAATCGGAAAATGCAAGTAATATATATTTCAAATAGAGATGTGTTAGCAAGATACTTCCTTGAAGACAGTTGTAGGTAATATCGGAATATCTTATTTCATAAATTCTTAAAAAGTGCGTATTTTCTGAAATATTTAAATATATGTGTTAAAACGTTACCTAAAATACTTAATATAGATGAGACGTACACATTAATGAACTATCTAGTCTGTACTATACGCCAGTGTTTTTACTCTCCACATAAATACGATTGTGCAAGATTTTGTGACATGCTTAGCTCTGATTTGTGAGAAGATAAGACGTAATATCATTTTATTTACTTACAACTTGTTGTGTAGAACATGGAAGAATAAGCAATCTTCTTCACCTTCTATTTGATGTGTATCAAACTTTTGATATGACAAATCGAGCCTCGTTCTGTGGCATCTTCAACGTCATTCAAGGCCTGGTTCTGTCTGGCGATCCTGCAAAATGGAAATTCCCAGCATTTCAGGCAAATTTCTGAATATAGAATGCTAAACAAAAATTACCATCCGTATCAAACGAGAAAGTATCAGTCATCGGTTTTTTAGTACAATCTGTCACCGTTCACATGTCACAGTAGATATCACCGGCTGGGTTTGTATCGCTTGGGAAGATAGGTAATAAACAATTGTTATAACCTATAAGTCATGCAGTGTTCGAAACCGAACGAATGTATTTTTGTCAAGTTGCCTAATAACATAAGTACACTCAAAATAGGTTCAAAAAACACTACCTCAAGAAAACTGTGAATTGTCCATTTTCTAACATCCGATTACATTCTGAAAGATATTAAATAATCCCATCACGAAATTAATTTGAAATATAGATCACCCATTGTTAATAATTAAATCTACATAAGAATTGAAAAATTGTTTTGGTAAAAACACATTCACAAATGGAAGGAATATTGGATCTTCTCCCCGGGCAATTAATAGATTTTCGGTATCATTATCAAATCGTTGATTTAATGTTCTTCTCCTTCACGCTTTAAATTAAGTTTATATACTTCGTTATAAATTATGGCATAAATGTTTGATGTGTCCGTCTTGTAATTTCGTTATTGATATTTGATTGATTTATCGATGGATAGACCAAGAGGAAATAGATAAGCATTTATGTCATCATGATAACCAACTAACTTTTATTATCTATTTATGACGTTATATTTTCACTAAAAGATCAGATATGCGAGTGAGTGTTGCAGAAATCAAGCGCTTGAACTGTTTTTGGTGCTATCAAACTTATTTTAAAATCAGATTTAAAAAAAATAATTGTGTGGGAAATTAATTATTGAACAGTTGTTGACGATAACGGTGTTCATTTGAATATATTACGGTCCATCAGGTACAACATGGATGAATATCATTTTCTGAAACACATAACACAAGTGACTTCAAATTGCTTTAAAAATAAAACGAAAACGGTATGCACAATAAAATGGAGGGCAATAAGTTCATGAAAATAATTATTACAATTGGAAATTACTTCAGTTTTGTTAATTAAGAGTACATGACGATACTATATAGTAGATGGTTGCCTACGTAATAGGAACTATTCATGATAAACGTTTGTCCTAAAATCTAACGAAGAAAGAAGTATCATACTTTGAATCTCCTGCTCCCAACTGGAGGAGCCGCGTATGGGATTCCTTGGTAGGCGAAGTATTGCTCAAGGTCCGCGCCGGGCTGCTGTACAACACGCCCTTGCACCTGGCCCTCGACCAAGGTCACTATGGGGGTGTTATGGTCGGCCGCTGCGGTGACCGCGCTCCACCACAGAAGCAGCAGGCTCGCCCACGGGCGCTCTTGCATGACGGCTGCAACACACATTTGTTTATTTAGATAGTTATTTAGTTATAAGATGGTTAGTTATATCTACTACAAAATCCCTATAAAGGCAAAGGCCTCCTTGTCCAGCAAGATGAAATGTTGGCTTTTGCATTTACATAAAATAAAATTGCTTTTACACATAAATAGACCATTTTACTCAAAATGAAAATGTTATCTTTGTCTCAAACTCTTCCGAAAATGTCTTTCACTTGTCTCAGACTCTTGCTCCACCTTTATTCTGAACCAATTTTCGCATAAAGCATACTATAAAAGAAAATAAATAAATAAATAAATAAATAAAATCCACGTGAATTGCACAAATTACAATATTTTCATCTTCATCACAAACTCTTCCCCTTGTCCCCATCTTCCCATGACCACACGTTTCCAAGCACGCTCTTAAATACACCAATTCATTTCGCGGCTGCCTACTTGGATTCCGCCAGTCCGTTCTTGGGTTCCATTGAGTTGTTGAGTGAGCCCAGCCTTGTGGTTACTACCTCATGATGTGCCCGCTACTGCTCATGGAGTTATACGGGTCTGCGGTCAACCATGTGGTCACCCAGGATCCGTGTTTGCGGGTATTCTAACGGATCAAACCCACCCGCATTCATAAGGGTACCCGTATCATACGGGTACCCGTATAATTGGAGTTTTTGATGGACACGAACAAAGCGATTCCATTTCAGATTGTAGTTATCTATTTATGGAGAAGTTGCCAGATAATAAGCGAAGCAGAACACTAGCGGAAAGAAAAAATAAATCGACGAAAGAACTTAAGGGCCCTCTGTGCTCATTCACTGCGTACTTATTAGATGTCTTTCGTCTATTACTAAGTTGTTTAATGTTTTTAAAATCATTGTAGTTAAATCATAGTATTTTACAGCATTTAAACTACTTATTTAAATTATTTAAAAAAGTGAACAAATAAATTGATCTCAATTATTTTCTGTTTAAGAAATAACCCAATTTCTTTCCCAAAAGGATGAATAAGCGAAAAGGTCGAAAGAGACGAAACGAACAAAAGGTGCAATAGGCGATCGGTGTATTTTAATTCTAGGGAGCTCGGTCGCGACATACTGGGGAATTTGTGTACGCCATAGCAGATGGCGCTATCGATCTTCTGCGCATGCGCATGCACAGATCGATAATGATTTAACATTCGAGGTGGTACAAACTCCCTGGTGTTCAGCAATCAACTGCAATGTCGTTCTACGCATTTGCAAATGCACATGTGATGAGAAATTTGATCTGTGCGTGCACAGAAAATACTTAGAGCTGTCGGTTTCTGTAATGCTTGGCCATGCAAACACTCTATAGTAAAGAAGTTATAAATAAAACGGCTTCAAGTGGCGTTCAAAGGAAAGTCAAAAAATTCTAACTTTAATGTACGTGTCCCAGAAATTTAAAAAAAAAATTGGATTATTCAAGCATGTGTTTGACCTACTCATATATCCCATTCTGCAATGTACTAAGCAGTTTTTGTCACCCCGCCTGCCCTCTCAGAAATTGGACACCTTGCTGATAAGAAAGCGGCGGCGCTACTTTCGAGTAACGGCCAAGGACCGGCGATGCGCGGTGTCAGATTGGATGAGAAGTCGCGATCTCACAAGCGCATTATTTGAGTCGTAGCTGAACGTGCTTCCCATTTTCCATTAAATACTTTTCTTAACATGAACATTTTAAAATTCTATTGATATACTGTTTATCGCTAATCCGTAGCGAAACGAAATGAGTGCGGGCCCGCTCGCAAATTTTTTATTTGGGTCTCCTATATAGTAAAGATTATAGCAAATACAAGTAGATTTAGTATCTTAAATAACAAACCATCCTTAAACAAGTTCAAATTAATCAGCAACGCTGTCTGAGCGTTATCACATAAGATAGCAAATTCAAACCTAAACCCGCAATCGAAAGACAGTTTGTGTCGTGTTTTTTGTTAACAATGGTAAAGTTCTTATAACCAATAGCTGGAAACTTTGTCTTTGTTATTAATTTAATGAAATTAAGTTTTATAAAAGATAAATGGGAAATTGCTTGGTAATTTATTGATTGGTTAAATAAGTACGGAAACGAAAAAAATCTTTCTTCCGGAAGATGCTGTTTTTAATCTTTTATTATAACAAGTATTGCAATATATCAGAGAAATCATCAAGGAATTAATATTTCTTACAATCGTAAAACCTTCAGCCTAAAAATGGTCCCTTCTTTTTACCCATCCCGCCCGCAATACGGGCCTTGCGAGCCCGAGCCACTGACTAATAAGAACAAGAAATATGTTAGAAAATTGTTTTAGTTGTAAATTGCATAGAAGAATCCATCTATGAATGAGCCAAAGAGACAGTTCACTAAACATCACATGAATTTCAGAGAAATTTCTCTCCGCCGCGACATCTGTTCAGCCACACCTCTTCGTAAAAGTTTATGTTTGTACATGGCTCCCGTTAAGACATCATGGCTTCTCATTGTTCACAACCGTGTAATTATATTAAAAAAATAGATTGATAAAACACAAAGATAACAGCTCACCACTGAAGGGCACAGGAGCTTGAAACTCGTGCGCCAGTACGCGTCGGATATTAAAGACTCGGTTTTCAAAGAATATAATACTTATCACACAATAGGCAAATTTAATGTAATATTTATAAAAAAGAGAATTTTAGAAGAAGAGCATAGTAGCACCGCATTTCCCAATTTCAGTTATTTCTCGTGACGAACTACGTTTTGTCGGACGAGGACACCACAAAAGGAAGCGTCGAAGCTATTTACAAGTTAGTCAACTGCAAACGAACGAATGAAGGAAGGAGAGTCAAACGGGCTGAAGCTAAAACGGGCCATCGACCAGAGAACCTTCAGTTATTTTGTCAGCACTAGCTGTCAACTCCCTTTTCAATCTTGCTGCTTAGCCGTATAGTAGCCGCATCCAGTATTCCGATTCGGTTCCGTATATCCTCATACCAAATTCTGACTCTCAGGTTAACCCTCAAGATTATTCTTTTCATTTTCATTTGACTTCTTTGTAATTTTGTTATTTGTAGATTCGTTAATGACCAAGTCTGAGATCCATAGGTGTGAACGGAGAACGAATGAATCCATTATTATTTTTTAATGCGAAAGTTTTGAATCGTTAGTATGACAGCAAAACTCTAGAATTCTTCTGTTGATTTCAGGCAGGCAACACATAGGCACCTTTTAACTCACCAGCTTTAATGTTTGTAGGTAGAATGAAGAAAATATTGTCATGCAGTAAAAGACTCGTTCGATACAGACGCTTTGAGGTCTTCTGACAAAACTCTTTATTGTTTTCTTTCATCTTCGTTCGATAGTACGGTTCTCTTTATAAAATATGTACTTTTTTCTTTAAAATTTTAGATCAAAATACTTTACAAATAAGTTTAAATTCACTTTTCGTGAAAATGTCTTCCGAAAATCGCAGATTAGCATCTCCTGCATGTTTCCCGAAGTGCGTATGAGAGACCGATGGATACTTGTTGCAGAGTGATAATTAGACCACGGAATGTCAGGCAGTTTATTAATTTAAAATAATCAGACCAGTAGGATAGGAGGTTTTTCTGTCTTGAAAAGACACACAGCACAAACAGACACAAAGCACAAATGCCGGATTTTTTGAAAATTGTAAAAAACATTTAAATCTACAAAATTGAAGATAGATTTTTGCTTAATTTGTAGACAATTAGCACTTTAGAAAAGACCCAGTACATTTTTTTTGAAAAAATGAGTAGTTTTGCGTAATTTGCTCTTGAAATTAGGCAATTTTAATTAAAACCGCTCCAATTTTTGTCTTTAAATTTTCTCTACATTATTAATAAGGTGATATTATTGATAAGTAAAAAATAAGGTGCTAATCTCATTTTTCATATTTTTCAATTTTTGTTAGAAAATATCAAAAACAATTGAAAATTACCGCAGTTAAGGCAGATATATTTGCCTGGAAATAAGTTTTTTAAAAAATGTCGTATACAATTTTTTTTGTAAAAGTTAGTAGTTTTCGCGTAATTTCTGTTTGAAATTAATGAAACATATATGGGCGTTGCCGTACATAACCATAACGTTTAATATTGTGAGAAAGTATTTGCACCACTAGTTTTATTTAAAATAGACAGGCCAGTAGGAATTAATTTTAGTATCTGACTAGCATAAGTACTCCGCGTTGCCGGGTTATTTATTAAAGGCAATACCACGAGTGTTGGAAATTGTTGATAAATTCCCGACTCACGAAGCGAAGAAGGGATTTACCTGAGCATTGCCAAAGCATGAGTGGTATTTAATAGGACTATTCCACGAATGAAATTATGTCCAACATTTCTAAATCGCAGCAAATATTGAAAATATTTTAAAATGTTATTATTGCATAGTTAGAGTTAAATTATAGTTTATGATTGACCAGAAGGGAGGCTAAAAATAATCAAAAAATTAACACAAATTACAAGTACTTCTCATATTTTTGTGGGATTTTATGTATTATTCCCGTCCTTTCAATCAGTTGCTACACTGTAAAACGTATTCTTTTTCATATTTTTCATCTAACGTTTTTATAAAGAAAAGTTTGAAATTGATCTTTGACCCCTCACCGAGGTAATGAAAATATAATTCTAAATAAAGTGCTTTTAATTGAATTCGGGATCGCGTTTTAGGATCCTTGATAAATATTGGCTGACGGAAAGGTGCCATTAACCACTTAGCCAATTATAATATCTCCAAAAATCCGAAATCACATAGTGGATCCCGGCTTGTTCAAAGTTTTTCTGTTATCTAAAAGCTCTTTTGCTCTATTTTTGAAAAACAGTGTTGATACACATTCAGTTCCTTCCATTTCTCGCTATTCTTTTACTTTAGTATTAATTCTTCTTGCCGAACTTTCAATTTAAATTATTATTCCATCAGCCGAAGGTACGCACGCCTTCACCACCATAACGCAACCATCTGTCACAATTTCAGATTAACACGAAAAACATACATAA